ATGGTCGAATAATCGTGAAATCTACAACATACTATCTCAATTTATGAAGTGGCACTATACTTATGCTCAATGGCTTTACCAGACTGATCCAGACACTAGAGAATTTCTTTCAAGATTCCAACAACTTGCCCAGTTTTTGTTCCTGATTTCTATGTCCATGTTCCTCTGCAGTATTGATAATCCTGTGAAAAGATGCTTCTGGCTATCATGCAAATAATCTAGTCCAAACCTCTGCTTTTAAAATAGTACTGTGATGCTGGAATGGTGAGTATAAATGCATCCTGACAGTTCACAGCATATCATGAATTGACATGCAAGAAACAATGCCTGTCATTGTGAATAATCCACAGTTAGGGAATGGATGCCTCTGTGGCTCATATAAACATGTGAGTTCACATTTGGGGCACACCATGCCATTAAAGCAGCAATCAATAACCCTGAAAACTTCAAAGAATCTGTTAATTCTGGAAATTACATTGGCCCTCTCATTTATGTAGGATAAATTGTCCTATTTTGGCAAAGAGAGCATTAGTGACTTGTCTTAAAAAAAGGAGTGCACATAAAGTGAGTGGATCTACCATAAGTCTTTTGAAGGTCAAAGTACTGAGCCTGTAAATAAAAGTGGAGTGTTGTGGCTGCTTTCTGTGGCTCAGTATGACTGGCCCTTCTCATGGTCCTTTACTGCAATTTTGATTGCTATAGGAAACAAAAATTCCTGTGTGGCTTCATGATGTTGATAATAAACCACGAGAATAAAAAACAATGTGAAGCTTCAGACCATTCTTTGCAATTAGTAGTAAACTGTTCATTATTTCAACTCAGACAATCAAGGCTATTCCACATTAAGTTAAAACTGGCTGAGAAGGAGATTGTTGCATTGAAATTGACCAGTTTTGGATTGTCTGGACAAACTTAAAATTCTTTACTCTAAAGGCATTTAAATATCTTAGTGTGAATGCTTAACCTGCCTGTCATAAAATCACCTGAAATTCTAACAGATTACCAATGATCAGAAATATCCCGAAGTTTCATAACCAATCTCTATATATTCTGAGCTTGCAAAGTATGAAGTACATCAAGGAAGAGGGAAAGTAGGAAATTGGAGAAGATTCCCTTTAATCGCTTGCAGTTTTAAAATTTAGTTTTCCGTGACTTCACACTTGTAGACCTGCAATTATAATACCGGTGTTGAACTTTAATGCGTGATAATGTATAACTTGAAAGTTCCTCCAGATGCTGCCTGGCTTGCTGTGTTCTTCCAGCCTCCTGACTGTCTACCTTGGATTCCGGCATCTGTAGTTATTTAGTCTCTAACCTTGAAAGTTACTAATGTGTATTACTGAGAATTAAATATGGATTAGAAAAGTTTTGTGAAAAATCATCCACCTGCTCTGAAGTAAACAGCTCCTTCTGGAGAAATGGTCTAAATGCAATGTTCCATTGGCACCAAGTGGCAATGGGGTAGCTGCAAAGTGAGCTAACTAGCCATGTGAACAGGTGCATTTGCACAGATGACATCAGAATTGGCATCACACCTTAGTTTGGCTGAAAAATAGAAGCTCCTTTGTGGAGACCACCTGTTTTGCTGCTGAACACCAGAGCTCCTGAAGTACGAAGTATGAAGTACAAGCTATTCTAAAAGAGACAGATGGACTAAAGAAACTAATTCAGCCAGCACTGCAGATTATTGTTTGAACAGTTTTGCATAAATCAGAATGTGGATTTAAGATGCCAACCAACTTGAAGCCAGCTAATATATGAAAAGGCTCCAAATAAAAAAAAAGGTCCATGAAGACATCTGCTAAGAATTCACAATTCACTTAATGCCACCTGTCCTAAACACACTTACGAGCATATGCTATGCCATTTCGGCAAGAGAAAAAGCATACATGTTGACCATGGTGGCAATACTGCAACATGGCAGAAACATAAGCAACCATTAAAAGTGAGAAATTATAAAGGGGGTTCACATAGAGTATGCTTGTAAAACAACCTATCTACATGATTCACATTCGCATTGTCAGACAACTTGGAAAGCTGCACGGAGAGCTGTGTGAAATTGAATGTGTTTGCTAAAATATAAACTGTTTTCTATTTTTGGAACAAATTGAAACATTATACACAGAAACACTGAGTGTCCCAGAAGCTCATAAACATCCTTGGACATTAAAGTATGGTCAGGGACAATGAATCTGAAGATTTCCTTGGCCTCTGCATTTCCTCTCTCATGACCAAGGTGCCGTTTCAATAGGTTTTCATCTCATCCAAAAACAGGGAAATTTTTCCACAACTGAAAAAAATGTTTGGACCTTCCAAGTGCAAATTCTGATCATGGGTCTGATGTTGAAGATTGGACTTGTTAGGGATCAGCCTTTATTTCAGTTTTCATCCAATCCCATCATACAAATAGCCTTGGATATGTTTTTCTTTCCTTGTTGGGATTTGCCAATATGGCTACAACTTGCTGATTCATGTGAAAAGGATGGTAAAATCATGTTTGAGTGGAGTCAGCTGATGGCCAGCTGCTTTCCTGAACTGTGCAAGACTCAGTCCATGTCCCATTTTCTTTCACATGAAATAAAATAAAGGCAGTGTGTAGTGTGTGTGATGGGATGGCTGGACTTGGCATGTCCAAACACCTCTCCCACATTCGTTGATTCACCAATTTGGAGAGATTCTCTGACATGGTGTTAATTTGGGCCTATATTTGTGTTTATGAAACAATGGCTTTGTTCTTTGCAATCTACGTTGGAGTTTGTAAAAAAAAAATGGCTACGATTCTCAGGCAGGGATTCAGACAGGTTGAGTATTTCTGTACAATTCATGAGAGCTTAGATGAAGAAGTTGGTTGAACTAAAGAATGGTACCAAGAGAAGACTTCAAAAGCAAACTGCGTATGAAGACACCCGCTAAGTAAACAAACTCAGTTGATATCATCTATTTTAATGACATGTGACATTACAGAGGTTTTTTTGTGCTAGTTAATGTTAGTGTTTCATTGGAAAGTTTTTGAATTGAGTGCACTTAATGATTCCAACACAAATTGTACCTAAAGTTACAACTGTTTTGAAAAGTACTCATACTCCACCATAAGTTCTTGCTCAAATTTATTTGTACAATAATAAATGCGCTGTATCAAGTTTGATTTTACAATTAGTTAGCATGTCACAATGTAGTTTGTCTTTAAGAAGAGCTTGTGGAAAGAATATTCCTTGATATATTTGATTGATTAAAAAAACACATTTCAAACTATAGGACTTGGTTACCACAAAAATAATTTGACTTTGAATTAATAGATGTAATTTAGAAAAAAAAGGTATTTCCAAAAGATAGTAAGGACTGCCGATGCTGGAGTCTGAGATAACACAGTGTGGAGCTGAAGGAGCACAGAGGGCCAGGCAACATCAGAGGAGCAGGAAAGTTGACGTTTCGGGTTGGGAGCTTTCTTCAGAAACCTTCTGAGAAGGTTCCCGACCCGAATTTTCCTGCTCTTCTGATGCTGTCTGGCCCGTTGTGCTCCTCCAGCTCCACACAGTGTTATCTCAGAAGTATTTTCAAGTTTGATTTGGGTATAATAGAGTTCCTTTTCAAATCTTTCAAAGTAATCCTAAGAGTTGTTCTGACCAAAGTTCCAGTAAATTATTAGAGCCTCAAGGCACATGAATTAGCTTTCAGCAGAAACCTGCAGTGGGTATTGATGGAATCAAGCCGAGTTTTGTCAATGAAGCTTGCTTCCAGCAAAATGTTTTTCAAACTAGCACAAATTAGAACTGCACAAACAATGTGCACTTAGAATTCTATAATATTTGTTGCTTAAGCTAATTTAAGATAAACATAAAAAACATTGCCTTTGAAGAAAACTCCAGGGTTTTCAATGCACATCACTTTCTTCTGACTTTGTATATTGCACTCTAGAGCATATTGTTATAGAATTTAACATCAGAGACTTCTGTCATTTGGTCCAAAATAGTCTGCATGAGTCTTCAAGTCAAAAAATTCCAGTTTGCTCAGTTTCAACATTCCTTCTTCAAGCAACTAAAATAATTATAAATGTTTTTAAATAATTTAAGACATTGTGATAGACTATGACAGAGAACTCCACACTCTTACCACCTGTGTAAATTCCCTTTAATTTTTCTTGCACTGATTTTAAATCTGTGTCTTCTTGTTAACATCTTGCTGATCAATCTATAACTCTTCATAATCCGGAAGAAATTTAATCAGCTTATTTTTAATCACATGAAAAGTGTCTTAACTGTCATTTATAATGTACTAATGACCTCCTCAGCCCAGGAAATATCAAAATGAACCTACACTGCACCATCCATTCAAAAAGGCTTCTGAGACAGCTCTATCCAAATCCAGAAGTATAAGGGCAGCAGATACATGGGAACCCCATCATCTGCAAGTTCCCTTCCAAAAATACACCATCCTGACTTGGATTTATATTTTGTTGTTTTTTTTTTTAGTTTCCTTATTCCTGCTTACCATGTGTAGAAATGCAATCGCATCTTTAGCAAATCTCAGTTCTTTAGTCCTGAACATAAAAATAGCCACCAAAAAAAGGCATCAAAGAGTCATCAGACCTCACACATTTCCATTCAAATAAATGTCCTTCTATGCATCCAATCTTATTTCTATCCATTTGTTTTATATGCCATTGACTTCATCAAAGGTCTTTAATTTTGCACCTTGCCAAGTCCATAGGAAAACCTTTATTAACGACCTCCTCATTTTATTATTTCATTAGAAGAATCTGTAAGGTTGATCAAGTTTTATTTGCCCTTGAGATATACATTCTTTGCTGCCAGCAAAAATGCTGCACATATGGGGATTGCAAGCCAGCAAAGATCAAGCCAGTAGTGTTTCATTCCATTCTTTGACCTGAAGCTCTATTTACTAGTGGCTTCACCACTAACTTATTGCGATCTCAAATGAACTGCATTTTCTCAAAATATGTCAATTACTTAGCAGAAATTAAGAATATGCTCATCTCTTACCATTTTTGGCCTTGCAAATTTTGTTGTCTGGCTGCATCAAGTAACCTTCCACACAGCCACATGTGTAGGATCCATTGTTGTTCGTGCATATCTGACTACAAGTTCCATAAACACTGCATTCATCAAAATCTGAAAGAGGCAAGCAAGTAGTTGCTTAAATTCACAATGGTGCTTCATGTCATGTCATTCAAGCATATAGAGAACAAATTATATTGTATGCCAGACCTGCATTCAAATTGAAACATAGAAACATAGGAGGTAGGAGCAGGAGGAGGCCATTCAGCCCTTCGAGCCTGCTCCTCCATTCATCGAGATCATGGCTGATCATCCAACTCAATATCCTAATCCTGCTTTCTCCCCATAACCTTTGATCCCATTTGCCCCAAGTGCTATATCTAGCTGCCTCTTGAATACATTCAATGTTTTGGCATTGATTATTTCCTGTGGTAATGAATTCCAGGCTCACCACTCTTTGGATGAAAAAATGTCTCCTGGTCTCTGCCCTAAATGGTCTACACCGAATCCTCATACTCCTGGTTCTGGACACACCCACCATCAGGAACATCTTTCCTGTATCTACCCTGTGTAGTCCTGTTAGAATTTTATAAGATCTCTTTTGAGTTCTTTCATGATTTCATAAAACTAACAGAAACAACAAAATGGCCGATTAGAAGGCGTTAGAACTATTTTGCTGTCCAGGAATCTTGAAATCAGCACTGCTCCAGGAGAACATGTGACTAATAATCCAGAACACAGGTTTGTAAATTGGAATTACCATAGTACAATAATTGTTTTCTACCTATAATTCGCCAAAACTTCAGCTACTATGCCCCAGCTGCTTTGAAACTTATTAAGTATTACCCTGAAAAATATGAATCTGCCACTTACTTTATGCAACGATACACAACAGACAGTTTTTACTAGACCTCCCCAGAATCATACACAAAAAAAGGACCTTGGGACAGGCAGTCAGGGAGAAGTAATATTATTGGAGCTGATTGGAATTGGATCTTACAAACAAAAGAGTTTGCTGTTTGGCAATTGACTGGTCAGTGGTTAAGATCATTTTTACATTTAATTTCAATAAAGTATACAAATTTGTAATTCACAAGTTCATAAATTGTATAAAATCTAGCATAAGTGAACAATATAATTAAATAATTGATTAAAACTCATTAAGGACATCAGGAAGTTTGAGCAGATTCGGCCCAGATTTTATAAGCTGGGAGCTAAACTGCCATGCATCAAGCAGGGAAAAAGTTACCCGAATACTTTGTACCTCGAAACAATCACACTATTAAAGGAAAAGTGAGGAAAATAGTACCATGGCAAACCTGGGTCACAGAATGACAGAAAGTGGCAGAAAGAAAGTTAAAAGAAAAACTAGAAATACATAACCAATCAAGACTAGATGTACAAAAATATCAAAAACACAAAATAAAAGCTTTGTATCTTAATGTGCATCAAAATTGTACTAAATTAACTCAGTTTTAACTAACTTATCAAACATAATATTAACTCAGCTAATGTTCTGGGGAACTGGGTTCAAATCCTGCAATGGCAGATAGTGGAATTTCAGTTCAATACAGAATCTGGAATTAAGGGTTTAATGATGGCCAAATTGTCAATTGCTAGATAAACCCATATGGTTCACTGATGTGCTTTAGGGAAGGAGATCTGACGTTCTTTCCTGGTCTGGCCTCCTATGACTCCAGACCCACCGCAACATGATTGACTCTTGACTACTCTCTGGGCAATTAGGATGGGCAATAAATGTTGGCTTAGCCAGAGATGCCCTCATCCTGTGAGCGAATTTTAAAAAAATAAACAAATTCATAGTGAATATTAAGGTAAATAAATATGATCTGATAACAATTGCAGAAACATGGCTTCACGATGGCAAGGATTGGGTCCTGAATATTGAGGGATATAAAAAATTCAAGAAGAATAGGAAGCTACATAAAGGTGGCAAGATAGCATCAAGGATGGCATTTATGCAATTTGGAGATAATCTTGGTTCAGGGGTTCAGGATGTGGAATCAATTTGCATGAAGATGATAAATAGTCAGGAAGGAAATCACTGGTAGGAGTGGTTGCAGGGCTACAGTAACTACAATGTGGGACAAAACAAACAAGCAAAAATACTGGGTGATTGTTGTAAAGAGACAGCAATAACCATGTGTCTTTAATCTACAAATAAACAGGAAAAATAAGATTGGCAGTGATATCTGGATGAATAATTCATGAAATCTTTTCAATAGTTTCTAAGAGCAGCATGTTCTGGGACTGACCAGAGAACTGATTAAATTAAACTTGGGATTGTGTAATGAGGCAGGATTAATTAAAAAATGTCTGCGTTAAAGCACCCGTAGGTAGCAGCAATCAATGTTTGAATTTTACATGCAGTTTGAAACGGAGAAGGCTGAGTCTAGAACTCATCCTTAAAGGCAACTCTATGGGTATGAAAGCTGAGTTGGCTGATATGTACTGGCATTCTTAGCAAGTGGATAGATTGTTGGAGACATAATGGTCGGCCTTTAAGGTTATAAAACAGAATACTAAAAAAAGTGCATTCCTACTGTAAAAAAAAACTCATTGGGCAATACCCCATTGTGGTTAATTAAAGGATTTAGAAAAAAAATGTTAAACTTAAGGAGAAAGCATAAAACTGCATAAAGATAAGTGGCCAGTCAGATGATTGATCAGAATGCAATGACTGACAGAATGGCTAGGAGCCTAATCAGGAATATGATGAGAGTATGAGAGGAAGCTAGCTAAGTATGTAAGAACTTGTACAATAAGTCTCTACAGGCATCTAAGATGGAAAAGAATAATTAAAGTCAGTGTTGGTTCTCAAGAAAGTAAGACTGGGGAGTTAATAAAGGATAATAAAGAAATGGTGGATAAAATAAACAAGTATTTTGCTTCTGTCTTCATTAAAGACAATACAAAAGTAAAATCCAGCAGCTATTGTATAAAAGCAAGGATAAATGGACGGTGAAACCTAATGAAATTAAAATGATGAGGGAAATAGTACTAAACAAACTGATGGAGCTGTGGGCTGACAAGTGTCCATATCTAGATGGATTTTACCTAAAGAAAGTTTGCTAATGAGGTAGTAGATTGGTGGTGTCAATTTACATTCCCCAATTCGGAACTCAATCGATCAGAGTGGAAACTATTCAAGCAGGGAGGGAGAGAGATAGCAAGAATCAATAGCCAACAAGTTTAATATCTGTCATGGGGAAGGTTTTCAAATTGATCATTAAAGAGACTATAGCTGGGCACTTATAAATTACCAAGGTAACAGGGAAGAGTCAGCATGGTTTTGTCAAAAAGGAAGTCATGTTTAATCAATTTATATGAGTTCTTTGAAGGAGTAATATGTGCTTTAGACAAAGAAAATCCTGAAGACATATTGTACTTGAATGTCCAGAGGGAATTTAATAACGTTATCAAAGGCCAATATGGAAAATAGAACCTTATCATGAAGGGCCTAATATACTAGTGTGGATAGAAGATTGGCTGGTTGGCAGAAAACAGAGTATGCATAAATAGGTCTGTGTCTGACTGGTGTGATGTAACAAGTTGAGTCCCTTAGGGCTCTGAGCTGGGCCTCAATATTTAACAATATCTCAAGAAAGATGCACTGGCCCTGGAGCTGGTTCAGAGGAGGTTCGCGAGAATGGTCCCATGGATGAAAAGCTTAACATATGAGGAACGTTTGAGGAACGTTTGAGGACTGTGGGTTTATACTCGATGGAGTTTAGAAGGATGAGGGGGGATCTAATTGAAACTTACAGAATACTGAATGGCCTGGACAGAGTGGATGTTGGGAAGATGCTTCCATTGGTAGGAGAGACTAGGGCACAGCCTTAGAGTAAAGGAAGACCTTTTAGAACAGAGATAAGGAGAAACTTCTTTAGCCAGAGAGTGGTGACTCGATGGAATTCACTGCCACAGAAGGCTGTGGAGGACAGGCCATTGAGTATATTTAAGATGGAGATAGATAGATTCTCGATTGTCAAGGGGATCAAGGGTTATGGGAAGAAAGAGGGACAATGAGGTTAAGAAATTTATCAGCCATAATTGAATGGCGGAGCAGACTCAATGGGCTGAATGGTCTAATTTCTGCTCCTCTGTCTTATGGTCTTATAGTCTAATTTATATCACTGACTTAGATGAGGGGGGACGGGAGTGAAGGATGATATTTAAATTTGCAGAGATTACCAAGATACGGAGGAACGGACGTTGTGAGTAAAATATAAGGAAGTTACAGATGGTAACATCTAGGTTGAAAAAAAATTTGGAATGTGGAGTACAATATGGCAAAATGTGAAATTCTTCACTTTAATAGAAAGAATAATAAAGAGTATTATTTTAATGGAAAATGCCTGTGGAATTCCGAGGCGCAGAGGGATCTAGATGATCTAGTCAATGAGTCACAAAACGTTTGCACTAAAACAAAGCACATAATTAAAATCTTAAAGGCATGCTCTCCTTGATTATGAAAGGAATTGTACATAAACAGTAGGATGATATGCTTCACGTATACAAGGCATTGGCATGATCACATCTCAAATACAGTGTGCAGTTTTGCTCCGGTGGTTCAGAGGGGGTTCATTAGATTGATATCTGGAATGGGAGTTGTCTAATGAGGATAGATTGTACAGATTGGCCGTGCTTTCACTGGAGTTTAGAAGAGAGAGGAGTGACTCGACTGAAGTGTATATGATCCAAATATTTTTGACAAAGTGGATGCAGAAAGGATGTTACCTCTTATTGGTCAGTCTGTAACTAGGGAACACTTTCAGAATTCAGGGTCATCATTTCTGGACAGAGATGGGGAGAATGTTTGTCTGCCAAAGTTTTTTACAACTTTGGAAATCACTTCTCAGAGAATGGTAGAGTTGACGTTATTAAATATTTTAAAACAGAGGTGGATAGATTCTTGTTAAGCAAAATAAAAATGTTATTACGTTACATAAGAATGTAGAATTTGAAATAAAATAAGATGAGCTATCATCATAAAGGAGTATGCTCATGGGTTCAATTTGTCTAATTCTGCTCCTATTTCCTATGTCTGTATATTCCCCAAAGGTAACCTAAAAGGAACATGTAGCATAACATAGAAATGCCAATGTTTCCATTACAGACTTAGGAAACACATATCAATCTTTGGAAGAGTCTGAGCTTTGGATTTAAACAAGTGGCAGGTCTTGATTATACTCACTTTGGTGAAAAAAAAGCCAATAAACACAAGTCTCTTCAAACATTCTTACACCTGGAGACTAAGTGTTTTGGGAACTACTGAAAGTATTATACCCATTAAGGTACCTTTTGTACGTCAACACTCTGCCTGCTCCTTCTTATTCAAGTCATCCAATGTGATTTGAATTACTAAGGGGGGGTCCCTATCCTTTCAACTTAGTTTCTTGTTTCATGCAGCCAATCAATCATCTGTGGTACGGGATGATTTCAGTAATTGGGCCCAAAAATGTATGTAGGATAGCATGTACAATGAGAGAATGCTTAGCTAACAAAATCTCCTATACAAAGGAAAAAATCCATGAAGAAGTCATGAACAGGACTGCATTAATAATATTTTCTCAGCAGTCTGGGAGACTTTCTGACTAATGCACTTATTTAGTTTCAATAAAGAACACAATCTTAGTTGAATCTCTGATCATGAAAACCAGTGTGGGACCAGGTTATTATAACTTACTAAAAGCAATAATGCAGGCCAACAGTGAGATATGTAATTTTACAAGTAAAATTCCATCTCGTATAATCAGTCATCTGGTGATTTAAATTTACACACAATAGTATAATTTTGCAAGTCCAATCCATTTTCTGCGAGATCTACAACAGAGGTGAAATTATAATAAATGCACTTGCATGCAATTTTTGACTGTGCCAACACCAACACTGAACAAAACTTTCCTCAAGGGTATTTTTGGCCTTTAAAAGCCCATATTCTTAACTTGATGAGATATCCATGCTGCTGGGTGAAACTTCACGTCAGCATGTAGAAGCATGCTTTTCATACTGACAGTTGAATTTTCAATTTGTTTTTGCCTCTAGACAAACACAAACAAAATAACTTGGGCAAGCAAATAGAAAAAAAATGGTTTCTCCAATACAAACTACAACTCTGTATTTTTGGCTAAAATATTAATGTATGCAATATAATGACACAACACCTCTGTTGCAGTAATGAATTCTCAATGAGCAATTACTTTGTGCAACATTTGATAAATATTATCATGGTAAGTAATACATTTTACACAAAAGAAACATAATTTTTGAGACAGCAAACCTTCACAACTTTTCCCATCTTGTGCTACTTTAAAACCATCGCTGCAGTAACAAGTTGCGCCAGTTCTTGTGACTACACATCGATACTGACAATTGGCTTGGTTACATGTAGGCGAAAATTCTGAAAAAGAGCAAATATAAATTTGCTACATATTTCCTGCAAAATATAATGTAAATTCAAATTCTTTCATTGTAGAATTAAAGGTTTGTGATCTCCTAACGAAGCATTAATTTGAACATTTGTATCCTCGTTGTTTTGTGACTGTGTAATTGTCAAATGTTTTGTATCCTGTTACTGTTAGTTAAATCATCAGTAACAGAGAAGGTTAGAAATCCATACTAATAATGCGTAGCAGAAAGCAACATGCAAGTACAGCCATTTTCTTTCTTATAAGAAATCAGTGTAATTATCCCCATTGTAATTGAATCAATAGCTATTGTGATTACAGAAGGCAAAAGCAGAGTGGTAATAATTACTTAAAACATGTTTCATCTCAGGCACATATATTTTTTGTAGATCTCTGGCAGAAATTTGGTGTGATTCAAGGGATACACAGTTTCTTTTCCTTACATTAAAGCATAAAATCCTGGAGAAACTGAGCTGGTCTGGCAGCAACTTTGAAGAGAGAAACAGAGTTATTATTTTGAATTTTTTTTTGGAACAGTACATTACTGTTCTCTATTCTGATGGGTCGTTGGACTTAAAATATTCATTCTGTTTCTCTCTCCACAGATGCTGCCTGATCTGTTCAGTTTCTTCAAATTTTTTCTTTCAGATTTCCAGCATTCACAGTATTTTGCCTCTTTTCCTTGTGTGATTATGGAAACAATAAAATATTCAGAATTTGACCCAATGGTCCTTGAATTGCCAATTGGCATACATCATTCCTGAAAAATTAGCCATAGCCGATTGCGTTGTGTAAAGGTGTGATTTATCCAAGAGCTTGTGTTTAAATAAGACCACAAACAGGGTTTCCACCCTATTTAATTCCTGAGTTTTTTGTGTCAATTCAATTATTCTAATGCAAATAGAAATTACAGGTAATTTTATTCCAGTTTTTGGTTGAACCATTTAAGGCTTTTGTTATGGTGTAAAATTTACTTTATTTTTGCTTTGGAACAATGCTGTGGCATCATGGGACTTGCAGACAAATAAGAAAACTTACTTAATTCTGACTTTAGAACTGCAAAAGTCATTTGACTTCTAAGTAACATACAAAGTCTTAGTTCCTAAAGAGGAAACTTTTTTTTTCTTCAGAAATCACATAAATTTAAGACAAACATCTTTATTCTTTTGAACTTGATTACAACCATCCCATTCTATTCAAGGAAGTGAAGCCCAGAAACTATTACTGAAATAATCATATGCTAAAAAAAGCTAAAACTAAAAAGTAAATTTGCTGCACATTTCTCAATATTTGCTCAAATAACTTCAGTTTGCACCTAGGAAGTGCAATATATTATTTTAGTGTACAATTGTATTCACTTCCCAGGATTCCATAAGTTTGTGACAACAATTTATGTTGCATTTCTGACAAAATCTTTTTTTTCTGTACTTTTTGTGTCATGTCTGATTTCATTTCTGTTTGCTTTGTACTACCAAGATCAATTATTACTTGGCTGACTGTGATTGTGAGTGCTACAATAACAAATTGGCCAAATTTAATAGCTTAACTCAGTCACCTTCAGGGGATCTACAATGTGCTGCGTACATTTGAGATGGCACAATGCAGTTGTCCAGCTATCAAAGTTCAATTTAGGAGTACAGGACATTGAAGGAACACATATTCATAATGATCATTGGTAATATTGCACAAGATAACTGAAGATATCATCCCAAATTATCCAGTTTCTAACTGTCAGAAGCTAGACCTATGACTGAACATCAGCATTTTAGAGAACTCCTGATGTGTTGGAATTTTTATACAATACTGTAAAAGAGTAAATGTGAAAGACTGCCTTCTGCCCCACAGACTATGGTGATAGCCTTTGGATTTGCGGGGAGGACAGTTTAGGATCTCTAAGATTTTCAATCTGGATCTAATTACTGTATTTTTAACAAAAGGGCTGGATCTTCTGGTGTCAAATAACTTTTTTTTGGCAACGTGAATGAGATTTACAGCTCAGGAACTGCAGAAACCCTGATGAGGCAGACTTCAAAGGAATTGTCAGGAAGCTGAAGATTCAATTCCCATGCAACTGGAACCTTCTAAAAGGATCCATTTAAATCAGAAAACGAGGAGGGTCCCACTGCTTACTCGGGAAAAGTTAGATACTCTACTAACTAGTCAAACTCCTGAGTAACTATTAAAGTTAGCCCCCAACTTACCACGCAAACACGTACTGCACCACCGTGACTTTTACAACCCCTAATGACCACCCAGCACCCCCATCATTCGTGACCCAAATTGTCTCTCTGCCAAACTAGATTTACTCACTTCCTTCCAGAACTCAACAGCAACCCCCCCACACCAGACACCTACCTGCCTTTCAGGAACCAGAGCACCCCTTCACAACAATCCCCCAACTCCTTCACCTTAGGACCTAACACCACATTTGGACACACAACTTCCTCCAAAGACTCGGCACCCAACGTCTCCTCTCCATTTTATCTTCAACTCCCTGTTGCTGGCATGACACTCCCTTCTCCCTGCTGGCCTATACTGATCTGCCCTAAATACTCGATCACTTACCTTCATCCTTACCGCCTTCTTCTCTGTCACCCAATCCGCCTTGCGTTCTAGTACTGTACCCACATGGCATCCTACCCACCTGGAACCTTGGCACCCTACCCACTTGGCATCCTTCTTATCTGGTAAACTGGTAATCTATTTACAGTTTATTAAACTGGCATTCTACACATCTGGCACCCATTTACTTGGCACACTAACCCTACCCACTTGGCATCCTAACTTCATATTTATCTTACTTATCAACTCTTTCTCAAGAGCTTTCAAAGTAGCTGTTCATGCAGCTGAACATTTAAATCACAGAATATAGCAACTATTGCTGTGAAAAAGAGATGTGATTTTCCTTCCCCTAATGTTGTGCATGACACAATTATATTGAATGTAGCCCTGCACTTCTGCAGAATGCCTGATTGAAATCTTCTGCAAGGAATGTGAAGATCTTTTTTACAAACATAAAAAGAAAGTAGAAGCAAATTGGCAATCTGGTTTTCCTCCGCAGAAAATACCGTCCAACATCAATCACTCCATTGTAACCCATATGTACTTACTACCAAGCAACAAGGTACAGCTTTTTTTTCAGACAGGCATCTCTTTTAATTAGTATCCCAAATGATTTTCCTCTGTCACACACTTCGGTCAAGTAACTGCTGTAGATCCCTATCCTGAACAAGGATGGTAAGAGCAAATCCACTTTGTGGTGAGTTATCACACGAGGTATGTTTATTGTGCTGAGCAGTGGTACAGAATGTTCATACAACTAGAATTTCCCAGAAGTTTCAAAATTCAACAGTAATTTTTTTTTGATGCCTGAGATCCAGTGTGAATATCTCTGACAGTGACCTTTTGGTGGAGACTTGGGCCAGATCTATTCAACTTACGTTAATATTAACCAAGAAACGTGGACAGTTTAAAACCTGACAGTTGTTAACTTTAGAATCCATCCTCCTCAAATCAACCTCTGAATGCCTGAATGCCCCTCTGATCATACTGACCCTGTCATCCCAACCACTCAACTACATGTCTGACCCTATCTGATGAACTTCACTGACCCTGTCTAACTAACGCCACTGACCTCACCCCACCACCCTGAAAGGACCTAACTAACATCATTAGATATGCACAAAAACAAAGTTGCTGGAATAGCTCAGCAGGTCTGACAGCATCTGTGAAGGAAAAAACAGAGTTAACATTTCAGGTCCCGTGACCCTTCCTCCGAACTGGGAGGAACTAAGCAGTGTTCAGTTAATCTTCTGCTCTGTGTCGGCTCTGAGTTTGTTATCCATGCTGCAAAGAACAAAGAACAAAGAACAAAGAAAATTACAGCACAGGAACAGGCCCTTCGGCCCTCCAAGCTTGCACTGATCCAGATCCTCTATCTAAACCTGTAGCCTATTTTCCAAGGATCTGTATCCCTCTACTCCCTGCCCATTCATGTCTCTGTCTAGATGCATCTTAAATGACGCTATCGTGCCCACCTCTACCACCTCCGCTGGCAACGTGTTCCAGGCACCCACCACCCTCTGCGTAAAGAACTTTCCACGCATATCTCCCTTAAACTTTGCCCCTCTCACCTTGAAATCGTGACCCCTAGTAATTGAGTCCCTCACTCTGGGAAAAAGCTTCTTGCTATCCACCCTGTCTATACCTCTCATGATTTTGTAGATCTCAATCAGGGCTCCCTCAACCTCTGTCTTTCTAATGTAAATAATCTGAATCTACTCAACCTCTCCTCATAACTAGCACCCTCCGTACCAGGCAACATCCTGGTGAATCTCCTCTGCACCCTCTCCAAAGCATCCACATCCTTTTGGTAACATGGCGACCAGAACTGTACGCAGTATTCCAAATGTGGTCGAACCAAAGTCCTATACAACTGTAACATGACCTGCCAACTCTTGTACTCAATACCCCGTCCGATGAATGAAAGCATGCCATATGCCTTCTTGACTACTCTATCGACCTGCTTTGCCATCTTCAGGGTACAATGAACCTAAACACCCAGATCTCTCTGTGCACCAATTTTCCACAGGGCTTTTCCATTTACCATATAGTTCACTCTTGAATTGGATCTTCCAAAATGCATCACCTCGCATTTGCCTGGATTGAACTCCGTCTGCTATTTCTCCGCCCAACTCTCCAATCTATCTATATTCTGCTGCATGAGACTCTTTTAGTAATAGCCATGTGGACTTACTCTTACGTTGAGCATGATAACTCACAGGAGACCATCATACTTCACAGGTGAAATGTAATGAGCTTTAAACTAATATATAACACAGCCGATTTAGCTAAGATCCAGCTTTCTTCTCCAACGACATTGTAAGAGTGTCCTTCCTCACATGGTTATCAGTAGCCAAGGCCAACATTGGCAAGAAGAATTGGTGGCAGCAAATCTATGCAAGATATGACAATTTTTTCAGGTGGATGACGA